TTTATTTTATTCAAGGAACAATAACACACAATACAACAACATTAAAATAAGAAAAGAAAAAGATAGGACAAATTACAACAAACAAAACAATTGCCAGGGGGAGGAAAGTATAAAACTTCAAAACAAAAATACAAAATATACATACACACGTATATATAAAATCAAATAAATATATTGTAAAGTTCACAAACTTTCAAAGTTCTTACAGCTTTCTTATTCACAGAGTCTCTGATACTGTCAATATATATAAATATTTCAGTCAACAAAACCATAAAATTGGGTTTTTTATTGGTAAATTTACACTTATGAATGTGAAATTTGGTCAATAGAATAAGTAAATTAATTAAGTAAAAGTACTGTTCCTCTTGGTCAGGATAGTCAGTAAAACCAAAGAGTACATTTTCCCATAGGAGTGAAGGTCTTAAACTGAATATTTTCGCTAATAAATTTTTGGACCTTACACCATAGTGTAACCGAGTATGTACAGTACCAAAATAAGTGCAAGGCAGTTTCCTCATACTCATTACAAAAAATACAATTTACATACTTTCCGTTTTTACATTTTTGTAAATAATGATTTGCTGGATAAAATCTATGAATAAGCTTATAAGAAACTTCTTTAATCTTATTTCTAAGATGATATTTCTGTGGTAACAACCACACTTTTCTCCAGCAAATCAATTTTCCGTTCAAAAAAGAGACCCAATGAGACAAAACATAAGGTACAGTAACAATTTCTCTTTGGAAAAGAGTACGGATAGCTCTATTATTATTTTTGGGATTTAATGAAAAACAAATTTTACCAATATACGATTTACTAACATCAAAAGACACTGAATCGGGAGAATGATCTATATCAATACCTTTAAATAGCATGCGAGTACCTGAAGAGATTGAACCAATAACAATTGCAAATTCTTTGAGTAACTGGCGTTTTACAATAAGAAAGGAATTCATCATAAGAAAGGAGTGTTCCTTCTTTATTATATAACTGACTAACCAATTTAATATCGTTATCAAACCAGTTCTATCGTTGTCAAACCAGTTCTTAAAAAAAGAGATTTATGTTTGTAAAAAATGTTTCTATTATTCCAGATGAAATAGTGATGCAGAGAAAAACTATGCTTATATATTAATGACCAAGATAGGAGCACTTGTTTGTGGAAGGCAGATAACTTAGCTGGAATTTTATCTATATTATAATTACACATCAAAACAAAACTAAGACCACCAATATTTGAAAAAACAATGAGGGATAAAATTCCACACAGAAGTGGGGTTTTTTTAAGTGATGCTTAATCCAATTAATCTTAAAGCCACCGTTCTCATATGTATTTGTAGGGAAGATGTAATGTGTTCTCCTGGCCTTTGGGGGGAGCTGTGCGTTGTGTTCTCATTAGAGAAGTG